GAGGCAGGTCCTGAAACCTCATAAAGCTGATCAATTTGAAGCTGAAACTATTTATGACATAATGCCATCAAGATAAAAGTCACAGAGCACTGTTACACTTTGGACTTTATTTTTTTAAAATGATTTTGTACTTTACCTCCAAAAAAAACCCAGTCAATTCTGTGCTTAAAAGCATTCTCAGAATCCTTTGTTAAACACACACAGAGGGACTTTCAGAGAGGGAAATCTTCTGGAGGAAGAAAATGTATCAAGTTTAGGTATGAGGAAGAGGTATGCAAGGGACAAGGGGAGGAAGCAACTTTACCAGAAGCTGGCAATTTAAATGGCTTTAGGTAAATGGAACAGGGTGTGTATTAATGGGGGTGGAGGAGGGGTGTTTAAGTTTTAGCACTTAGGGTTGCTAAGAACTTCAGTAACGTAGTGTTTTCCTTGAGTCTGTAGACATAAACTTCTCTAGCTACCCAGGATTTTCCCAAAGAGCAGCAAAATGAATAGAGACAATTGCATTTCACCCCAAAACGGTATCTTCAACAGCAGCTTTGAAAGTGTCCTTTTTGTTTTGGTTTGGGTTTTTTTTGTGTTTTCTTTTTTCTTCCCTCCAAATTTACTCCTCACAGCTATCTAGTTAAACCCTGAGCAGTAGGACAGCTCCACTGGAGGATTCAAGGAGCCAATGCTAGAGCAGAGGGCACTGAGGGGAAGACAAGATGACATGCTGCAAATAGGGAGTTTAGAAAGGACTAGAACAGCTGAACCCCAGCAGCTTGAGATAAGAGGAATTGAGAAAAGGAGATAGAAGTAAAATAAATCTGGTTCAAGCAGAGGTGGAATAAAATGTAGCAGAGATAGAATAAAAAAAAAAAAAATCCCACAAAGTGAATCTAGAAATACCAATTATTTGTTGGAAAGAAAACCCAACACTTTTATGTAGTGTGAGGTTCTCAGTAACATATTACCCTCCAGTTGCATTATGCATAAAACAAATTAATTGCTTGAATTAATCTGAAGTTAACAAGCATCTAGAGCACACTTTTATATTACAGAAATTTAAACATTTAGATGAAACCAAAAATACACACAGCAGTTACACATCCTGGTGTAACCAAAAATGGTGTTTCAAATCCCTGATAATGAAATGGGACACTGAGCTAACTGACAATAAGAGGTTTAACTCTGCACACAAGGAACTAAAGTGAATCTGTGACTGTTATTACTGATTACCTATGCTGAGCAGTCACTGGCAGATTACGGCCATATTTGCATATTTAAAAATAAAACGAGGATTTGTGTTCAATTAGAAAGAGAGAGCCAAACAAGATGAAACATATCTGTTCTAGACAGGGATTTTTAAGATTACTCTGCAAGTTCGCAGTCTACGGTTCTCAAACCTTTTCCTTTTGGAGACGCACACTGAGTTACTGGCCTAGAGCTGACATTATGTGAATGCTGGGACCCATAGAAATTATCTCAATTTCTTACTAGGGAAAGAGAAAAGACAAAAATATGTATTTTGAATGGAAAAAGTTACTCGAGATGAAACCCCAAACATTCGATTGCAAGGAGCCTACCCAACAAGAAACGCGCAAAGGAGGGGGGGAGGGGGGTGGGAAAAAGGAGGTGGGGGGAAAACAGAAAAGCAATCACACATCCTTTTAACCCCGCGGCCCCGCTCCGGATTCACGGCGTCAATCCG